GTTAAAGTGTGTGTGAAGGGGGTGAGGACAGGAGAAGAAAGAGGCGCGGGCCGCAGCCCGTTTGTTCTGGAACTGCACCCGCATTCGCCTGGGTTTAATTGGAGAAACCATAGGAAACTACTGATCAGAATTCTCCTCTGTCTAGAATTCCCCGAACTAGCTGACAAGCTGTCGAAAATCCTCCCGCCGTCGGGACTCGAATCTAGGACCTCCCGAGCAAAAGCAATGCAGTGACATACACTGAGCCACCTCTCCCAGTGAGGAAAAGAAAATAAGAAAAAGCAAGTAGGAGCAGAAGAATAACAGGCAAGGAGGATGAGATGAGGAAGAAGCAGTAAGGATAAGAAGAAACAAGAAGCAAGGAGATGAAGAAGAAGAAACAAGAAGCAAGGAGATGAAGAAGAAGACGAAGAAGCAAGGAGATGAAGAAGCAAAGAGATGATGATGACGATGATGACGATGAGAAGTAAGGAGAAAAAGAAAATCAAGGAATGAACCAAGAAACGTAGAAGACGAGAAACAAGAAAAATACGAAAAGGTGAAGAATAAGAATGCTTGAAATGTGGGGAAAGGAGTCAGAAAAGGAATGTTCCTCACAGACGAGCGAGCTGGTTGCGGGAGATTACGCCTTGCCGCGCATGCACACCGAGAGCGCAGAATGTGCTCGCTTGTAAGGGGTGGGCGAGGGGACATGGAAGGAATGCGTCGCAACGCAGCTGCCAGGTTTACACATTTCTCTCCAGACGCTTAATTGGTGCTGCAAATACGGGAATGCAAGAAGAGACACCAACCGGCTGGCGAGATGGCATAAACGCTACTTGTGCCGGTCTTTAATATACGATACAAATTTAAAAGCTTATTTAAAAATGTATAAGTTCTTTAACTTGAAATTACTGGGATATTAAACCCACATACTATGTATAAGCAATGCATTTTGGAAACTTATATCCCTAGTAGGCCCGATTTGTTTTTTCCCTTTGGACATATATTATTTTACAGGACCTGTAAGGTATAAGGCACATTTCGTACTTTAATTACTCAACAGTCATCATATTATCCAACATAATGTATTTCCAGCGTGTACATTTACATAATATATTATCTATCTTGAATGCATCGGTGCAACAATCGTATTTACGATCTCATCGGACGGCAACAAGTTACGCGTTAATCATTTCATTTTTGTCATTCAGTAACAAGGACGAACTGAAAAGCTCCAACAAGAAAACAAGTTGCTATTATACGTCCTGTGGCAAGTCGTTAGGTATGAAACGCCAAAGCAGTTTACTGATGTCGACTTCCTACAGTTCGCACAGGCGAAATAGTAACCCGACCTATCGCACAAGCGGACGGCTCGTCATTACTCCTTGCAAGGCCCAGCTCTGGTTTCGCTCCACGGGTTGCCTATCTCCATCGTGTTGGTGTTTGAAGCAGAAAATGCCAGAAGTTTGTCACTGACCAAAGTGAGGTAGAATGTAATTTTATCTCTGGAATCGATAAACCTTTTTACGAATTACCCCGTCTCCTAGTTTTGACTAAATAATTTACGTATTTTCGAACATGCATATCACGTGGATTAAGTCCAATACCTGAATAACATAAAACGTAATGAAAAGTCGTTTTTTCAATAATTAATGCACTCTTGCGATTATTCGTCATTTTCAAGTTGGTGTTCTTGTTTTCTTTTATTAGTTAACTACAATTTTTATTATGCAAAATTGTCTCGAATGTTTGGGCTGTTTAAAATTAAACGCCGACTTATCAGAAGATACGAGAACAAGAATACCTTAATGTTGGAGCAACTAGAGAAACTGGCTTTATATTCCTCGAATTCACAAAGAAAAATCTTACGGTGAGTTACATTGTTTTTGAGAGTATTGCAACGTAGTGTGCTCTTCCGTAGCAATAACACTTCCTATGTTCTCTACCCAATTATACATCCCTTCCTCCGCGCTCGTCCGTTCCCTCATTCCCATCCGATACGTTCGTTGCCCCTTCACCACCTTTTGAATTATTGAATTAATGCCTTATTTTACATCGCGAGACTCGGTCCATCAGGACCGCTCTTCCATCTGACCACGCAAATTTGGCTACGCGCCTTTCACCAACTAGCAGACATAGAAGGAGGTATTTCATGAGCGAGAAACAGGCGATTTTTTGAATTTAACTCAGAGGCGTCATTTAGGATTGAGGATCTTTTACATGCAAGTAAATCTACGGACATGGGACAGCCGGCTTTACTTCCCCTCCGAAGGAAGGCGTACGAAGGATGTTTTCGCCCTTAAAAATCCACGGCTTCGATCGGGTTTGAACCCGCCAACTTGGGTACAACAGTCCAGTACGCTAACCGTTACACATAGAAACCGTAGAAAATCAACAGATGTCGCTGCAGGGCTTCTGACCCGGAGGTCCTAGGGATCGAGTCCCGAAGATGGTTCGATTGTCGTCACTAGCTTGTCAGGTAGGTCGAACTCCGCCGCTGTCTGGAGAAGAATTATAGCGGCTGGCTGCTCCGATCGGTATTTTTCCGCGGATTCTTCGATCAACACCAGGCGAATGACGGGGCAGTTCCCCAATAAACGGACGACGGCCCGCGCGCGATCAGTCCTTCTTTCTCCTCCTTGTCCTTTCCTCATCTCCTTTCTTAGACACATTCACACTCATATGCACAACACTACGACACTTGTTGGGAGTCCAGTCGGGTACAGGACCCGGCTGGAGCGGTGCCACTCTGGTAGGAGACACCTGGTTGGGGAAAATCCCCGCAAGCAGATGCAAGTCGGCGCCGGATTTCGCAAGACAGCTGCAGAAAAGCTCCAGCACGTCCAGCGGTAAAAGAAGTCTCGATTCCACCGGTTAAGTTTCGTTCTCCCTCCTACCATTTTCTGCTTACTCACCAGCCCTCTCCTTGCTTCCATGATTGACTAGTGGTTCCGGGCTCGCCCCCTTTACGGTCATTAGGGCCGAAAGTGTATTGTATGTCTTTGTCATCGAGGCTGCAACTTGACGTCGACCTAGTTATCTAGCTAATGTCGAAATTCCTTCCATCGTCGGGACTCGAACCTAGGACCTTCCGGTCAGAGAACCTGCAGGGACAATAGTTGATGCCCTGAGCCACCTCTCCTGGTTCCTTCATTTCAATTTGCCGCTCTATCTTCCTCACGCTTTCCCTCCCTCGCGCACTCCTGTCGTCTCTGCCTAATACTCCCCCTCAGATCGCCCGCTCCTCTCCCGCGAATCCTAACACTCACTATTCCGTTCCTACGTCAGCTGGTCACCAGTCCATTTATCGGTCTTTTTGATACGTCATTTTTCACATATTCGCATGCCTTCCTTCGACCTTCCGCGAATATCACTTCGTGTTCTTCCTAGATAGTTAAGTTTTCTCCGTACCTGCTCGTTGCTCATTAATTATTTTTTAAAATGCTCAGTACAACTCTAGTTTATACTGAAATATTATGTCTAAGTTTTTTGTTATTTAAGAGTCGTGAACTCTTTCAATATATTCAACTTATTTTGTTATTGTTATTTCCGTTAGGTCTCATGTCCCAGTCACAAACAGAATGCGTCACGAATGACGAATTGTTTCCTGGCAAGGAAATACTACATTAAATTCATCCTGGTTATTTGATACTATTCCATATTTCCTGATAGGGAAACTTACGTCATCGAAGCACGTGTTTATTGGACATGAATAAATGACGAAATCGAAAATTCACTACAACGCCCTAAGCAATTTCCAGATTTTCATGCAATTCTCTCGACCGCATTTTGGTGCAATGGAATGACGTCGAATCATAGTACTTTGGAATTTAATTAATTTCGTGTCTCTTGACGAAAGTTTTAAACCATTTGTTAAAACATCTACTATTGTTTTATTTTATAATTATTGCATTATTTCCGAACCCTTTTTTGTCTTCCACCCGCCCTCTCGACAAAAAGATCATTACTGTCGTCATTACAATCGTCAGAATACAAAATATCATTGTTGTTATCGTGGGTGGAAATGGTAGGATTGTTAAAAATCTAACGACAATTGTCAAAACTGATACGAATGAAATTAGAAAAGAAGTAGAAAAAAACCCTATGGAAAAATGTCAAAAGGGATAATAAAAGCAACAATGCACACACTATTAATAGTGCAATAGTAATTTATTGTTTAGCTCTTCTCTTGTTTACGCACATTTCTGTTTGAAGCATTGCATTTTCAAAACAACTGATATCTTTCACCTTCCAAAGAAACGGTTCAACACAGCTGCGAATTGGTTAAGTTCACTGAAGTGCAGGGCCACTTTCTGCTCACTGGATTTCTAAATATTTCATCTACAGAAACATTTTATTGATCGACAGAACGTTGTCGTCTAATAGAATATTTTTCTGCAACAGAATCGTCGACTTTTTCAAACTATCCATAAGTATAATTTGAGAACGGCGACAATTTTAATAAAAGATAAATATAATAAAATGATGTACTTGATACATTTACATACAAAATAACTATAAACATAATAAAATGATGTACTTGATACATTTCTTTAATCGCCACACTATAGAAATCATATCAGGGATCACTGTAAGAAATGTTAAAAAATTTTTGACATTGTCTTGTACAGTCATAAAACCTGTGTTATCCCAATGCGACCACACAATTTCAGCCCTGAAACGAATACAACTACTACGATCATTTTATTTTCGGAACCTCGGAAAAGTACATTTTTAGTCACGAGCACTTAACGATTTTATTCGGTTTGAAAGTACCCCGAATATTTTGATTTCATGAAAATGAAAAAATTCCATGGAAATAAATCGATCAACCTTTCGCTTCGGAATTATAGTAACAAAACTCGAGCACGAAATAGGCTACATCCGCTACTGGGAAGAATGACATGCTTTACCTTAACATATCAATGTCATTCATGTTTACTATTATTTTTAAGTTAACGACATCACCACAAATTCCACAATCAGCGCCACGATAATCTGCACACAATTGCACTTACCTCTCCCAATTCACACCGATTCTTCGACTTGGAAGCTGCACACAGTGGCTGGGTTGAAGCCGGCTCCGGCACGGTCAGACACGCACGCACGCAATCTTCCCTTGACGACCTCGACGGGCTGTCGGGCGCTGCAAAGCCTCAGGCCCGGATCTCGGACCTTCGCGACGTTCCAGTGGGTTGGGCGCAGTCACACTGCAATGCCGCCGGCTGCGTCTGCGAACGGCAAAGAGAAAACACAGGCACCGAGGGCGTGGAGTCGGCGAGCAGGCGGTACGGAGGGCGCGCGGGGCGACCGATTATGGAAAAGGTTTGCGGAAGGACGGAGGCACGACGTCAAGACAGTCGCCAATGAAATCTGCCCGTTGGCTGTATTCCGCCTACCCCCGCCCCGCCCGGTCTCCCTCCCGAGCCCCGGCCCCCGCCCCGCCCTCGCCCCGCCCAGCCAGGTCCCACCCGCCTCACCCCACTCCTGCCCCGCCCCCGCCCTCGCCACCGGCCGCTCCACACCCGCGGACTCAGGCTCCCGGTCAGGCTTCGCCGAAAGACAATCCCGCCATATTTAAATGACCGGGCAGAAGGGCATTTTCGAACTGCACAAGATTACGGGCTTATTAATTTTGTACCATGAGAATATAGAGCATGTTTAGATACAGGTTTTATTAACTACCCAGGCGAATTATTCATTAACGGACGCCAACATGGCGGTGATGAAATCTAAAACTGTCTGCGACGTTTGTATCGGTGTATGAAAAACCGTAATTAACCAACAGTTAAATATATATCCCGTGATATCAGAAGACTTGTGAGCGCCTTATAAAATTTGCAATTTTGTTTTGTACGTGACATATATATTTTATAAGTAAATTTGTCGATACATTATAATATCTTAACCATGTCTTAATATTGTAGTTCATATGCCTCGTGAATAGCCAAGACCAATTGCATACCCTTTTAAAATTAAGCTGTTTGCAAGTATATTTTAACTAACCTATCGACAAAACATTGCCCGTAATTCATTAATAGTTTTAATTTACGTTTTACTTTATTCACGCGTATTTTCAACGTACTTTTATTAATATTTGTAGATCGTAATGCCAGCACAGAATAGTTTTCCTGTCAATCTAAACAGGTGGGTCACTTAAGGTGGTTCCCTTGCAATACCTCCTGAAACGCTGCAGATATTGAAACGCTATTTTCACTAAAACAAACGTATGCAAGGGGCACATAAAGTGATATTTAAAATTAAATTATGGCCTTTTTAATTTAAGAGATATTGTCACTACTTTGATTTTTATAGAGAACCCTACGAATTATTTTAGCCCATAATAACGAGCGTGAAGAAACTATACATATGAATATTACCCTGTGTTACATATCAATCTTTTTCAGAATTCTTAGTACTTTTACGACCACACTGATTACTATTCCTTCGTGGAAACGCGCTTCAAGTCCATTCTATTCGGTGTTTGCCCTGTAGGGTGGAAAAGTTAGCAATGCCTATTCCGGCGAGGGGAGGCCATGAAAACCCGCGAGAAGCACTCCAAGAACACTGAATTTACTTAGTGGATTTTAACTGTCAAAATAGTTAAAAATGGCGAGAAACGTATTATAGGGATAAGTCTATTTTGTGCAGGACTTCTTCAATTCCGGGATCCCTGCCTTAAATTCATACGCAAGTTGAATTCTGAATACAAATGGAAATGACCTTTTTTGCCAAGAATTAATAAGAAAAAATTCGTGCCCGTCAAATGAAAACTGCAAAGGTAAATTAGCTGTAGATTTGAACTATTGTCTCCCACCGTGCCCTTCGTGAAGGAATAGACTTATCGTCGCGAGCATATGGAGAACGCTAATTTGAATTACAATATTTGCCACATCTGTAGAAAATTCGTTCAGATAGTGAAGTTACCATTCCTTTTCAGCTTCCCGACAATGTACCGCATAGCTATGATATCAGCTATGATATCAACTAACCCGTAGCTATGATATCAAGTAGAGCTAGGCAAACAGAATTTGTAAATAAAAACTACTAATAGTTATTGAGTTTGTAGTTACTCAGAGTAAATAATAACTCAGTTATAAAGACTTCTCACTGAACAGATGTTATTAACTCATAATAGTTGTTACTTGCAGTTACGCGATTAATTGCTAATTGAACCAATTTCATCTCACATTCTTTTGCAAAATTTCTCATTATTGATGTTATTTGTAATTTTCTTAGTAACAAGCAAACATTATTAACGAACACACGGTTATAAGAACTGCACTATCGCATTTTGGATGAAAAAACCCGTCATGAACATTGAAGAAATACGTCATTCTGTCTGATCCGGAATCGGTACATCGTTTTAGCTGAACAATTTTTATGAGCTTGCCATCAATGTGAATTATTGCAAGTTAACAAGAATCCAGACAAGAAAAATTTAAATGCCCAAAACAACTATCTATATGCCTAATACATTTACCCAATTTCGACCGTGTCTCGGTCTATTGAGTCACATGAGCGACATTTTCACACTCATTGATGTCAAACAAAACTAAGGGGCGTGATCATTGACTAACACATACAAAAAATGACTCGCATTTTTTTCACAAACGTTGATTTTCCTCTAGAATTTCTAAACGGTTCGTGATGACGAAACACAATTAACAACACAACCCTTAACAAAATTTAATCATGGGTCAAGTAGTATGCAATGTGGATATTTGGTTCGAGATAAATTAAATCATTATTTTTTTTAAATTGCTCTGCTGTGTATTTTTTACGTGAAATAGATAAAACATAAAAAGAAAAATGCACCAATATTTCATTTGTTATAATTTTAAAAGTAATATTGTGAAAATTAGTGTTAGTGTGCATGTTTGTGTGCATTAGTTGTGGCAGATAATTTGAAATTGTACATCACGGACCAACTAAAAATTTCTTGCCATAATAGCAGCAACCGAAATTCACCGTTCTTGCTGCAGGTAGCCTCGTCTCGGCGATTGTTAAGACTTTTAGCTGGAAGGGGTGACAAGGAGAGATGACTAGGAGAAAAAAGTTGCGTTTCTTCCGCGATAGTGACAGAATATGAAGAGTCTATGTAGTCATACAAGCTCTAATTTTCTCCAAAATATTGTTATATAACATAAATAGTGTATACGCATGTGTATGAACTCGTCTCTTCACGGATGTTATCATGGGCTAAAGAAACCAAGAAATATATAGGTTCTATTTAAAAGATCGAAGTTGTGTCGAGATTTCCTAAATCAACAAGGTATTGTTCCATATTATACATCATAACTTGTGTTCCTCACCTGTTTTAGTGAACATTGCATACCAATTTCCGTAACTATTCAGGAGATATTCGATGGGTATATTTTCAGTCAGCCATCCTGAATTTGTATCTGTGTTGTTCATAGTACACAAGTTGCAAGGTTGTGTTGTTTATGAACCGAGAACATACGAAAAATATGTCTTGTAAACAGATACTTTACTTTGCTGAAGCCACCACACCATCTCGTTTCTTTAATGACGAAATGACGACATGACGTTGCACTGCACAAACGCTCTCATATACAATTGCATCACGGAGATAAGACATGTACGCAGCGGAGGACCATTGTATTCGAGGAACGTATATTAAATCCACATTCCCCTACAAATGGTACAATTTACCATTTCTTTACTTGCATTTGTTGGAAATGGAAGGAACCGTGTGCTGCCTGTTAGTCTTCGTGAAATGCGTCTCCGCCTGCATCTTTGGCATCTCGTGGCAGCGCCATATACAACCTTCACGCTGGTTTTTGAGTGGCGCCATTGTATATTGTCAATATTTTATTTTTCCTTGATTGTTAGGTTGCGTTCTAAAATATAATACAATTATTTTTGAAATACCCTACATATATAGTTGTAACATCATGTCTTCGATTCTTTTGCATTTTATTGTTACACTTGTAAAAAATAACGTGAGCAATTAACGTATTCGAAACGGAGTCAAACCTTGCAGTAGAGCTGAGTATCGTTTTCAAGATTTTAATGATCTATTTTCTGCTCGACTTTTTTGTCCAAGATTTTGAGTTTTGCCAAATAGCAAACGAATATAAATGTAGTTTTCGTTGTAAATATATTGACATTACATTATGTTGTCTTCCCGTATGTTTGTTGCTGCCCAGTGTCTAAAATCGACATCAACATCAACATCAACTCGGACAAGATATTTCATAATTATTAAATTATTAGCTAAATTTCTACCTCAAAATAGACACTGTACACATTCAACGCAATCAAAGAGATCAGGTAGTCTGCTACGACTTTTCTTATAATCTTTCGATTTGCAAATCCCTGTAAAGTGTGCTGTGTAACAGGAATGTAGTTTTCTTTAATTTCATGAGAATATTATTAGAGAATTAAAAATAAAGGCTAATAAATGTGGTACTAATGTTAGATTCTCTCGGATCCGAATCGTAAGTTGCTTTTGAATCTCAGACCTTTTAATCTTTAAAAAAAGTTCTAGAATTTGAATGCATGAGTGAAATAAATTTGGTTACTTCTGTGTAAGAAGTAAGATACTAAAATGAAAAAAATGTAAATATATCAAATTCTGAGGCAACTTAAATTTCAGTTAATTCTAACATTATACCATATGTTATATGTAAAATTTCCATGTTGACGGAGAAGCTATGTTGGAACAAAAATAATAATAGTATAATAGCGTTGCCAACAATACCCAAAGCATTCACAACAGTAGCAGAAGCTTCACCAACAACAATGTACCGCATAACTAACCACAGTAACGTCATTAACTGCAGGAGGAGAAACAAAATTATATGAAACAAGAATATACAATGCGACCATTTTATAAATGTGCCGGTCGCGCGGGGTTTTGGCGTCGGTCAACGAGGTCACGGGTGCCGCGGAAATCAAGACAGGGCAGTCGGTAGAACTGCCGAAGAGGGAAGGGAGATTTTCGCTACTGGAAAGTTTAAATTGTATTCACGGGTTAGTAGACTCTTGGAACTGCTCATCCCGCTGTTACATTCTTGACATCTAAATAAGTTCTGGTTCTCTCAGGAAAGGATATCCTGTGGTATGGCAGAGATCTGCTCCTGTAAATGAAGCCTCAATTCTTCTTCCGTACGAGGATTTGTAGCATATAGTACGCAATCTTTCAGGAATTCTCAAAGAAATAAAACGCACAGGGTCAGATCAGGAGAGCATGCAGGCCACGAACCACGTGTGATTATTTCGTGTCCATAACGGCATGTAAACTCTGAAGGAAACTAAAGCAGTGTGTGCGGTTGCGGAGGCCTGTTGGCTGTATTTACGCCTTTCATACGTCAACATTTGGAAGAAAGGCTCCAGGATACGATGCACACATAATTATTTGACACATTTTACATACAATTTCCCTTTGAGAGAACTTTGAGAATGCCGTCACAATCCGACTCTTCAACAAGGCTGAAAAAGCCTGCCTTTTGCAGGGCGTGAACTTGAGCGTCTCGCACACAGCTTTCCTAGGGCAGTTCGGCGCATTGCCACACACTAAAATAGGTGCACTGTAGTTACATATCTCCAGAAATATAATAACTTGGAGTGAAAAATGGAGCAAGTATGTAGTATAGTGCTGCGTGTTATTTGCCGTTTTTGAGACTGTTAAAGACTACAATTTCGTAGATTCTGACTGCAAGAATTAAGAGTAATAGACTCACTAAGTTACAATGTAAGCAAAGCAGTGTTCATCTCCAACTTGCAGACTCCCCTACTTCAGCATTAGTCTTTCGCCATGAGGGTATTGTGCGATATTGTGTACTGGTGAACCATAACTCAACGCCAAAACTTCAGAAATATATTCTTCATAAAGAGAAAGAAATTAAGTTCGCCAGCCCGGACAGCCGAGGTCGCTAAGGCTGAAAAACCGTGGCTGCCTCGGCTACAAGGGTCGCGGGTTCGAATCCCGCCCCGCTCATGGAAGTTTCTGAATGTTTGTGCTGTCCTTACATGTTATTCCTATAGTTAAATTAGTTACAGTGGTCACTACACGACCAAGTTGTTAAAAAGCGACGTAAAAAATGTAAATAATAACAACAAAAACGAAAGTGCATTATATATGTGCCCGGAAAAGCTTCATTATGGAGTTATCCGAACTTTTTATTAACGCGAGTTTTACAAACTTTTATTTAGATATGTTTGCATTACTTGATACCTCGACTAAAATATGAGGTACAATTAACACATGTGACATGCATAATAGTTGCGAATGAAATTGATGTTTATGACCTTATGGTCTCTTTTCCGCGGCTTTGATGCGATGGAGAGACCATTTGGGGTGAATACCAGAATTCGAAAGATTAGAACGCGAAAGGATGTAGGTATTGTAATGGCTTAAAGGCCTTCGGCCTAGCCACATAGGATCAAGTAAGCTAATTTTGTCTGTAATAATTACCTATTAAATAAATAAATAATGAAATTGATGTTGATCTGAATAACTCTCTCCACTGCAAAATGTAGCCGTAGTGGTGCGCCTGTGTGAGTCTACCGTTTTTTTTAATTTATGTGGCTTTCAATTTGTTGTGAAAAGATTTGTCGATAGTTCATTTTATTTGGTTTCGGTGTACTGAAATATGCTTGAAGGAACTCATACGATAGCCTTGCAAACATGTGTGTTGTGTTCGATGAAAATCCTTTCAATCACTTATATCCCACACGTAATCTGAAGATTGTCAGAGCTAAACATATTTGAAGCAACTTTGCGATGTTTTCGCGCCCACCAAACACTGGGGCCTCAAGTCGTTGGTGCATTGGACTGTTGTGCATGATGAACAAACTCACCGTGCATGTGTGGTAGCAGCGCACCATGTTATTTGTTACCAGGTAGGTGGAGGTCTCTTCGAACATTTCTTGTAATATGCGAAGTATTATGAAGTCAGAGAAATTTTTATTTAAAATTTTATTGTAACTGTGGTGTAATAAATTTTCTCTCTTCTTTCTGTATGAATATATTCCTTGTTGTTTTCCGGTTGAGCTTTGTTACATCTATACAATATTTATTAAAGAAATAGAGTAGGGTAACCGAGTTCTTCGAGTAGATTGAGGATAACGTAGGGATTGTAATAGTAAAGGATTGTCAGGACTCGAATAATTGTTTAGGATTTGGATATTCAGGATTCAATAGATTCGCTAGGATTCGAAGATTTCGAGGGATCTCAAGGATTCCAGTAATTTGTTAGGAATAGGAAGATTGTCAGGATTCGAAAGAATTGTTAGGATTAGGATTGTCTGGATTGGAAATATTTACTTATATTCGAAGTATTCGAGTGACTTGTCAGGATTTTGAACATTCTAATGATGAAAAATGCTAGGACTGTACAGTATTACCGGTTGCACATTCCAAATGAAGCAATTTTGTTATGCAATAATTTTACATTTTCAATAATAGAACTCATAGACTCACCTTTAGAGATGATTGCTATTTGCGTCAGTATTGTCGTCAATTAACCGGCGCGACCTGCTAGCTGTCAACTGGTGGATCCAAAGCTGAAAATAAAGATAAATGTACAAAATACACGTTCTAAAACTTTTTAAACATTAGGATTATGACTGAAATTGAAGTACGTTTTACTGACTAAAACTTGGCAATGTACTACAATCTCGCATAATAGTAGCAATCTAAAGGAATACTTGCTGTCAACGTTTTTATTTTGGTAAAACAAAGGGCATCTAAATTTAAACATCCCATCGGAAGTCACGCCCTCGACGAAGCTGGCGAATGATGTCAGATCCCGCCCGCCCTGCGAGCTCTTGCAAACTTTTTTCGTGGTGGGTGAGCCAGAATTAGAAATACGCCATGAAACGGCGAAGCATTCTGTCCATCTTCCAACTTACGACCATTTCCATTCGCCGCATCGGATGCATCCGATATGCGTCGGATTGGTTTGCGACGTCACGTGCCGCCTTCGATCCGGACACGCGCGCCATTATTGCGTTAAATAGAGTCCGTCGGGAAATCATAAATTTTGGCAGTTTGAATTGATTTATTTCCGTCTATTAAAAATGAATAGAAACTGTGTACATGTGGAGAAGTATAATCTGCGCATGATTTTGTGAGTTCCAGTATCGCCTTCCTACCCTTTAACTACACATATTTGGATGTTGAATAAAAATACCTAAAAAGCTAGGATAACTGATTTAAAAACTAAACACATTCCGTTCTCGACTCTCGACTTATATAACTTTTATTTCCATTTGTAAACAAACTATAGATTTAGTTTTATTGTATTGCTAGCAAAATGACAAATCACACCTTTGGAACCTACCACAACTGTCCTTCTACCACAAAACGTGCACATATTGAACCTGGTCGAGAAGGAAGCTCCAACAAATTAGAATCCCTAACAAGCTAGATTTCTGAAAGATCCTCAGAAATACGTTTTTACGAGTCAGTTAAATTACTAATAAATATATAATTTCCTGGACAACAAACGATGATAGGCCTTGTTTTACCCCCAGCAGAAATGACAAATACATCAGATACTTAGCTGGTATCGAGGGCATGGAGCGACTGGCACAGTCAGTACTTGAATTTAGAATAATTTATTGATTATTTCTTGTTTTCGGGCTCGTCAACAGATATCATTAGTTCCACAAGTGTAGAGCATGTTTTATATAGGGATGTGTCAGTGTTCTTCCCAGCCTTATGTCAAGATCGGCGCAGACCTACACGTCGGTTGCGAGATTTCCCCCCAACCAACTATCACCCGCCAGTGGGGCACCGCCTCAACGAGAATAAGCTCTAATCTCCCGACATATGTGGTAGTATACTGCATGTAGTACGTGTAAGTTTGTGCGTGTGTGTGTGTGTGTGCGCGTGCATGTGTGTAAGTAAAAGTTGAGTTGACGAGGAAGAGAAAGGAAAGGTCACGCGCTGTCCGTATCCTTTTCGTTAGGATATTACCCCGGAATTCGCCTGGTACTGATAGGAAAAAACACTGAAAACTATCGATCAGAGCATCCGACCTAAACCTACCTTGTGCCGAACGTCCTGCCACCGTCTGGACTGGAACTTAGGATCTCCCGGTCAGAGGCACTGGAATTACATCAGTCGATGCCCCGAGCCACTGATACGGGTTAAACATAGAACCTCCCAGTATAAAATTCAGAGAAAATGTCATTTATGACAAACATTCCTGTCATCAATAATGTACTTTGAAATGTTAATATCACCATTTTTATGGCCTTTGACACATTCGAGGAGAAAACGTTTTTTAAATACAGCCTACCAAAAACGAATTATCGACATAAAAACTCTTATTACCGGGCTATCGTAATGTAAAAGTGGATAAATCGTGTTCCCGTATACAGTAAATTACTACCTCTAACGCATTGTGTGGTCATCATCCTTATTTGTGGGTTCTTAATGCCGAAAAATCGAATCGAATGACGATAAAGCGAATGAGAGCTAAGGCGTCTTTGCGAAGTAAACAGATACTCTCACGATTAAAAACATTCTGCAAAATAAGATTTTTTTTAGCACCAACGATCTATTTTGTATCAAAGGACTGTATAGGGCCTTCCCAGCTAAGCCGCCCGACCTACTATACACTCTCTGATGTTTGGGACACCTGGTGCAGGTTGCCCTCTACGCCGTCCGCGAAATAAGAGTCGAAATACGAGAGCTACAACTCGACAGTCGCAACGCGCAACTGGAGCTGTGGAGCAGTGTAAAGCGTCATTAACGCATAAGCGCGCGCCTACGCGTGTTGAACCTGAGAACTTTCTGCAAGCAACGGTATAAAAGCCAACCCCGATGTTCTAAGCAGAATGGTCGTGGAAATCGTACACCGAGCCGTCTATTAGATTTTCTTTGTACTTCCTCAACTTGCTTCTTGAGAAGGTAAAGTATTATAATCGTGCGCTAGAAAACGGCGAATTATCGAAAAAAAAACTCTCATTATAAGGACCTGATACCAAATAGGTGGATTAATCGTCGTCCGATATGTGGTAAATTACTTCCTCTAACACGTTCTGTTGTCAGAATTCATGTTTTGTGGTTCCTTGAAACCTGAAAATCAATTGAAAGCAACACGTCTGTCTGTCCACCTGCTTGTCTGATTGTCCGTCCGTCTTTGTGTGGTCAATGCAACAAAAATATTCGTTTTTCCGACGTGGAATTCAATTGCTGCCAGAAATATGGCTAAAAGTAGTGGATATCTTCAATTTTGTAGTTGTAGGAAGACGCCGAAAAAATTCAAAATTTCAAAATTCAGAAATAACCCTGAAAATCGGACCTATGCCAACTTTATAAGTGTATTTTACTCTGTTTTAACAAGAAGAAAAAGTTTGAAGCCGTATTGAGAAAATTTTGAAAATGACCAGGAGGCTTCATATGTACAAATAAACGTGGCTTCAAGAGCGGTCGAAGCTGCGATCCTTTATTGAAATTTCCCCCCTTATTGTATGTTTGGTTCTTTGTAATGCTCAGACCAACTAAAAACGAAGAATGGGGTAAAACAATATTCATAATATTTTCACACAATTTTAGGGGAAAAGAGTAGTAGCACAGATTCTAAATGATGGATAAACCTCCACTTTGTCGAAAAGTTCGTATGCCTTATACTCATTTTATCAACTGCATTGTTATTAATCTGCGGAATATTGATATTACATGGAGGTGTCCATGTCATTTATTCGTCCTTGCAGTTATGGATATCATTATCCGCTTCACAAAATCAACGTTGACTTGCGCTTGGCGAGGTTTCAAGATCCATGCGGAGCAAAAGAGAAGAACATTTCCCATTCATGTCGCGAAAGAGTTGATACAGTTGTTATCACGTGTTTGCGTATCACAGTAATCTCGAAAGGAAATAACAAAAAAAAGATATTTACATAAAAATTATTTTATATGAGTTCGAAATATCTCTACAATCTCTCCTATAAGATATAATTTACCCCTTCGTTATACCTCGTGGGACCGTAATTATCTTATTAATTGTTTACTCATGTTACTATCAACTTCTGAATTGAGGTAGATAATACAATTAATTCTGCACCCAACGATTGGAAGTAAAAAGAAAGGTTCAGTCTCATGATTTTAAAACCTGTCAAACTTTCGGTTGTGCAGCAGAGCTAAGAAATCATTATCGCTTAAAAGTGAGAAGACTGAATCTTAATTCTGGATTAATATAAGGAAGAGACACTCCCCAGCAGCGTATTTGGACCGGCCTACGATCTCCCGTCTGCCAGGCTGCAGGTAGGCGGCACATTATTCATGGAGGAGTGACACGTGTAAATGAACAGTGTTTTTTTAAATGAACAAACTGCGAAGCGGCGTTAATGTTCCTAATGTTCTTAATGGCCGCATGTTTATTATACAGCCCGCAGGTTGCGCCCGAGAGCGAAGATTAATTCGGAGTGGGTTCTGTGACCGTTAGAGCTCCATTTGAATCATAATTTCTTTTACTGCCTTTCCGTAGAAACACCTACAATTAGTACATTCTGGCTGAAGCTTAAGAAAACAGTAAGGATTTTGTCGTTAATATACAACAAATTTTCAAGTATTTATTTTTATTACGAGTAAACATACTGCACTTTCTGCGAGTTTAAAAGAAATTTCACCATAAAGCATACAAATATTCTGATGTATATCTTTTCTTTCTTTTCTAAAGGGTAACTGATATGCAAGTTAGAAAACCAAATGCTACAAAAATCCAATAGTCATAATTCACAAAATATCAATTTAAATACAGGAAACACAGAATTAATAAAAAAACATGTGTAACGTTTTGTTCTAGATTTTAAAACTAATCACCAAATTTAGCAACATTACTGGAAAAAAATAAAAATAAGATGGTGGATACCACACAATGTAATGGAAGCAGGAAGTGACAGAAAACATAATT